TTGTAGGAAGCACACTAATGAAAGTGTTCAAGTGTACAGTGATGGAACAAAGGAGAAAAGCAGTTTATGGATGTTCAGGTAGTCTCACAGTGGAAAAAATACATAATCTGGATTCTCATGGATAAGTACGTATGTGACCAGCAGGAAAATGAGGGTAAATAGTCGTCTTAAGCAGGAGATGTAAAAAAGACAAGAATCTGTTAAAGTAGTGAACACAAAGTTAGGATGTAGCCTATGAAGGATGGAGGATAGGAAATAAGCTTTAGATAGGGACCAGTTCATTATGGCCTTGTGTTCCTTGCTGAAGATCTTGAAATTTATTCTGTAGCCAGGGAGCCAAAGGGAAGGGCCGTAGCAGAGACCAGTAGTATTATTTAAAAATCCAAGGAGAAGGCAGTGTGGGCAGTGACTGTGAGGACAGAGAGAAGTGGCAGGTCTGAAAGACACTGAATTACTGAGATTTACCTGTGTATGTAGAAAAGTGGCCTGGGTCCATGCTGAGGTTGATTGGACTGTTAGAGGGCACTCAGGAAAGCAAGAGGTGGTTTCAGGAAGCATGTTTGGTCTGTACTTGTTGAATGAAGTCAGCCATCGGAACATCCAATAGAAGTATCAGTAGACATAACGAAACTCAGAGTTTCTCAGCTCTGAAACTAGAGCTGAGAACAGCTAAAAGCAAGTTAAAAGTATGAGAATTTGTGGAAAAGTGACCTATAGGTATGACGATGTCACCCAAAGAGAGTGGGGCAGGAGTGGAGGAGAGTATACCCTGAGGAATTCACACATTTTCTGAGGGATCAGGAGAGGACAAGAGAGAAGCAGAGGTTGCACGGCCGAGAGTGGCCGTGACTGGGAAAGACGAAGTTGTTGGGTTTTGGCAGTGAAGACACCTTACAGTGACCTGGGTAGAGGCAATCTCAGAGTTGTGGGGACAGGGTGCAGTGTTAGATCTGAGGCGAGAATTGGAGCTTTCACTTCTAAATGCTTAAGTATAGGGAAGGTTGTGTTTGTTAAATTGTTTGTGAGGCTACTTGATGTTAGTTTTTGGATTTGAATATATAAGGCCAAAATTGTTGAAGCTTTTAGTCTTCTAGGTGCTTTGTTTTTATCTTTTGATGATTGCCACTAAATACACAGTAGTCCTGAACATTGCCTTCATAAAAGTGTGATTTCTTAAAACTGTAGAGGCAAGCAAAAAAGCAAAAATTTTTACTAATATATTTCTGTTAAAAACATTCCTTAGGTAAGTTAAGAATGCTTAATAATTATTAGGTTTATAAAATAAATGGGAAGAATAAATACAGACTATTAAATTCTTTAGTTATTAACAGTTGGCTTACCCAACGGGATATATTTAACTGTTCTCAGCCTCAGTTTAATCATTCAGTGTTTTTTCAGGAGCACACGTGTGTTTGTGTAAGGGTCAGAAGCCCCTCTGAAGCAGTGTGCGTGATGCTCAGTACTGCCATGCTCGGGATCTCCGAGCAGCTTGACATCCAAAGCTGCTGTAGGACGTAATTTTCTTTCATTTTAAACAAATATTTGACAGCTTAAGTGAGGAAGGGCTATAATATCCATTCTCAATTTTTTGCTTATAGACTATATGTTACTACTATTTCTTATGACAGAATTAGAGGGGAGGAGAGAAGGCAACATGATTATCTTTTTTCACTTATTTATTTGCAAAGCATATTCTTAGGATTGTCTTTTCTTCGTGAGTTATTGGCCTTGAAGCCAATTTCTAGCTTCTGCTGAGCTTTTCCTTCCATAAAATTTTTAGAAATGAATCTGTAGTTGTTCTCTTATGTAAATAGAGACCATATTTATATCTTAATATAACACAAGACATTGCTGTTAAGAGATTTCTAAATTTAAAAATAACCTGAACCAAAGCTTAATTTCTTAAATGCATTCAAATAGACCATATTTGAAATAATAATTCTGTAGCAATATGCTTTTTATAGAAAATGATTTTATTATTAAGTATCACAATAGGGGTTCATCAAAAATACCTACTCAGAATTCTTCAAATATTTTATCCTTTTTCTGACAATCTGTGGGATTTTTTTTCCCCATTGGTTTAGTTTAGAAGTTTTTCCACTGAAGCTATAAGTTGGTGTTTATAATTTGCAAAACAGTATCTTTTATCAAACATATTCTGATAGTCTAAATATCGAATTACATTCATGAAGTGTGAACGAGTGGATGTTAATCATCTACCTTCCTGAATAGCTCTGTCCTGTCCTTTTCATCATCAGTGAAGGTTCAGTCTTCATTATCTCCTGTCTTCTCCACATGATAAGTGAGAACTTTGTTTATTCAAATAATGTAATTCATGTTCGCTGTAGAAAAATTAAAAAACATATCAGCGTAATGAAAATAGAAACTGCTTTGTTTGAGATGAAAGATCTTGAGGTTTTACTCTACCCTATTTGCAGGCTAATTAGTTTCATGGACTCCAGCAGAAGATATGAGACTCCTGGGTCAGATAGAAAAGTTTTTTTTCACATAGCCATAGCAGTAGCCATATATCAGTGTTTGTGTCTGTTGTCAGAGCCCTATTTCTCACAAAGGCATATAGTGAAGGCCAGTGACAACTACATATACAGTGGATTGTGTAACGGGAGAGGAACCCCAAATCTTTTTAATGGGAGGTAAATCTACCTGACCTTAGCCCTAAGGAGAGAAGTTAATATATTGAAGAGTAAACAGATCTGATCTACCCTTTGCTGCAGAGGAAGACACTGTCTCTGTCTTCCAAGGCTGTTCTGTATACAGATAACTTTGAAAAGATTGAACAAGGGATTTATTTAGTGCTTCTGTTTGCTAGATGTACAGAAATGCAAGAAAGCTGTGGTGGATTGTCTCCCAGCACACCTGCAATGCCATTACCCACAGATAGCCATTAACATTTTGATTTATATCCATCAAGGGTTTATATATGTATATATATTTTAAATTATCTCCAGGTAAATTTATACCTCTTCTTTTTTCTATCTTCTTGAGTTGGTGAAGACTGCCAGCACCTTGTTTAGTATCAGCAGTGATAGAAGGTCATTCTTGGCTAACTGTTAATACTTTCATGCTGTGTGTGATGGCTGTTGTAGGTTATTTTAAGAAAAACAGTGTAAATTAAAAGCACTTAACATTTTAAAATGAAAAAAATCTCTTAAGTTTATTATGTCATCATATGAAAGAAGAATGTGCCAATGACCCTCTCCTGAATAGACAAGAGTATTTATATTAATATATAAATACTATTTGATAATATAGAAATTTCAGGACAATCAGAAGTAACTGTTTCTTTTGAAAGTTACTTTCCCCAGAACTGAAAATAATTTTTAGTGTTAAGATTCTCACAAAAACACTTTGTTTGGGTAACAGTTTTAAGGACAGTTTTACTTGAGAACAGAGTAAGTTGGTAGCAGGTAAGAATATTCACACTTAAAATGAAAGTTGTTCAGTTGTGTCCAATTCTTTGGGACACCATGGACTATAGCCTGCCAGGCTCTCCCGGCAACAATACTGGAGTGGGTACCCGCTCCCTTCTCCAGGGGATCTTCCCAACCCAGGGATTGAACCTGGGTCTCCTGCATTGCGGGCGGATTCTTTACTGTCTGAGCCACCGGGGAAGCCCAAGAATACTGGAGTGGGTAACCTGTCCCTTCTCCAAGAGATCTTCCCGACCCAGGAATCGAACTGGGGTTGCCTGCGTTGCAGGTGGATTCTTTACCAGCTGGGCTATCTTAGAAGCCCTGTGTGAATATTCACACTAGTCACCAAATTATCGTATAGGAGAACATGATTGATATAGTCTTGTGAACACTTTTCATGTAAACATATTTAACACTTTGGTTTGTTTTAACTTGTTTATGTCATAGAATAGTATCTTAACAGATATGCAAGGTAGAAGGGACTTCTTAATGTTTTTTTTAGATCCTTTTGTTAATAGCAAAATATTTGTATTCCTAAGGCAGATCTCTTGAACTTTGTTGGCTAACCTTTTTATTAATCATTCCTGTTTACTTCTGATACTTTGACATCTGGGGCCTTCACTGACCTTGAGCAGACTGTCCTTCCCAGGGCCACTCAGTTCCCAGAGAAAATAAATAGCTCATTTGTGACCACACCTTTCATTTGCAAACCAGCAATCCAGGGTTCATCCCTGACCACCAGCTCTAGCAACTCTCATACTCTGGCACTGTCCCCCTGCCCTGACGGTTACCCAGAATAACCATCAGGTACCAGACAACTAGAGAAGTGACATGTATACCTCAGGGCCTGCACAAGTTATGTGGACTAGCCAACCCTAAACCTGCTTGCTTTCCTAGCTTTTTCCTGTGGAAGCCACACTAAAGCTTCCACGTGCCTTTCTTTCCCTTCCTCTGCCTCCCCGAACTGGCTAGGTGCTTCCCCAGGAGAAACTGTGTTGCATGTGTGACATGCCCTCTTTTCTTGGGAGCTGTGAGTGACAAACTCTTTTTGAACTGGCAGTGGTCTCCTGACCTATTAGCCTCACTATGCCAGAATAATAATAAAATTGACCATTTAAAACAGCATTGTAAGCAAAAGGCATGCCTGTGAAGATCCATTTCATTAGCAGAAGTGAAAAGACAGCTCAAGAGGATTTTCCTTTACACGTGGGAAATAATTTGATAGTTTTATTTTTCAGTAATCTTTCTGCTCAATTCAATCTAGAATTCTTTTTCTGATTTATATATTTGTTTATTGGATGATGTCTATCTTAGACATCGAGTTCTATTATAGTCAAGATATCTTGTTTTACTGTTATTTTAAATTATATTACTAAATGAAAGGGAATATGAAACAAATTAGAAAACATGTTGTTGAAAGTGGGCCTTGAGGACGTTGAATATGATGGTAGTTTGTAATACCCTTTCAACTTTTGTGTATGAAAGTTTCCTTCATAAGGAATTTTTTAATATTGTACTGCTTAGCTAGTATCATTATAACTTTATTCATGTTTAATTTTTTAACAGAGTAAAGACAAGATTGCATCCTATAGCAAAACTCCAAAAATTGATCGAAATGATGTGGGCAAGGAGATGAAAGAGAAATCATCCATGAAACGTAAACTTCCTTTTACCATCAGCCCATCAAGAAATGAAGAACGAGATTCAGACACAGGTAGGAAAATTTGTTTTTTTCTAATAAAATCATTTTCCTTCTTTTACTGTGATTTTATCATTCCTTTTGTACTACATTTTATAGAGAAATATTTGTATTTCAGAATTTCAAGTTTATCATTGGGGCAGAAATTCATATATTCCTTGCCCAAATATAATTTCTATCATAGATAAAAATAGTTTTTTTCTTAGTCTTAGTATTCATTATAGACCTCTTACCATTTTAAGAACTTGGTTTCTTGGGGAGCATTTCAGTGATGATAATTTACTCTAAGTTACATGGATCTTTGATGTGCTAGATTTGAGAAAGAGTTGTTCAGTTTTTGTGGACAAATTATTGAACCCACCAAAGGAAAAAAAGCTTAGACATTTTAGATTCAGAAATGAATCAGAAATATGTCCCTTCCAAAAAAAGAAGAAAAATATTGAGGCTGCCTCAGTCCAATTCATAGTACTTTTTCCCTCAAAACTCGCACTGTATCAGGAATGATACTTGACATCAGTCAATCCCAGTTATTCATAATAGATTAGAACCTTATGACCACTATCTATAAATACTAGGTTGTATTTTAGCCCTGAGATAGTAATTTCCTAAAACTCATATAAACTTGAATGTTTGTTGTATGTTTATCATAATCGTTTTATCCCCTGAATGAAGTATTAATAATGAACTGTTCTTAAGAATGTTTTAGTTTTTAGTTTCACTCTCAGGAAGAAAAATCAGTATTAACATTCTAAATTTATGTACAGAGATTATATCCTACTTTTATCTTTCTAGCCACCTTAGTCATCAATATAGAAATAATCTTGACTCCAAATCTTTGAAAATACCCTAAGGACTTTTGAAATGCGTTATGCTAATATAGCTTTAGAAAATAACCTAATTTTAGTGTACACTTTTGGTGGTAGCTAGGTTTCCTTTTGTGTATTTGGCTATTTCTCTTAGCTTGAATTAGAAGTTTTGCTCTTTTTTTTTTTTGAGTAATTAAGAAATTATGTGCTTTGTTCATTTTAAGTTACACTGCCTTCCTTCTAAAGGTTCGGATTTTTGTTTTGTTTTTTTTTAAGCCTGGCCCTCCTTATTTTTCAGCATTGTTTTCAAGGTTACGAAGTCATTTAGCTGAGAAGAAAGTGCTCATGTGCCTTCAGATATACAGGCTTTAATTTGTCTCAGACTTGCTCCTTGGAAGTCCTTCTGCTAGTCATTTTTAAAGTACTTACATTAACTAGGTTGTTTTGCAGTGACAGTATTCTCTCGTTAGTAGTTTGAAGAAGGGACTTAGAAAAATTCAAAGGTTGTTAACATGTTTTTCAAAATATGTAAGATTTCAAAATAACACACTTCCCAGGAGAACCCTTGTTATTAGATCAGGTGGGTTATTTGTCTTTCATTTAGTGTGAAATAAAGGAGAAAGATTTAGGAAGACATGAGCTTTAGGCACTGAATGAACATAGTCTAATTCATATATTATTGATGGGATTAATGCTTTTCTCTGCTACAGTCTTTCCACTATTTGAATTTAATAGGGCATTGTAGCTCTCTCTCAGACTTGCGTAGTATGAACATTTTTTTTAAAAAGGTCACATGCTAACATTAAATAAGATTTTGATGGATTTAAATATATGTCTGTAGTTTTGGTAGTCTGAATTTATAAATTTTAGTAACAGATGAACGCCTTAGTTTTGCATGAATGCACATACACACCACACATCCAAAGCATTGAGAAGAATTTCCCCAGGCCCAAGGAAAAATGTCTTATTTACAATCAAGCTGTCTTATTTTCATAATTTTAAAAAAGAGTCCAGAGTACCATTAATGGCTGTTTCAAATATGAATGATAAATTATAGTACCAAAACTCATATCTGACATTGATCTTTTTAATATTCTAGATCATTAGCTGAAACTATACAGAATAAAGTATAGAAGGGAGAAATACAACATATATGACAACACTTAATCTAATTAAAGTTCTCTAATGTGAAGAAAAAAAACACAGAAATCAGAATGGACAAAAGATACAAGCAGGTAGTTCAGAACACCAGAATTACAGTTGACAAAGAAATATATGAAATAATAGTAGTCAAGGAAATAGAATTTATAATGACTGACAAAATTATCATTGGTTAATCATACAAGGGCTTCCTTGGTGGCTCAGCTGGTAAAGAATCCACCTATAATGCAGGAGACCTGGGTTCGATCCTTGGATTGGAAAGATCCCCTGGAGAAGGGAAAGGCTACCCACTCCAGTATTCTGGCCTGAAGAATTCCGTGGACTATATAGTCCATGGGGTTGCATAAGAGTCAGACACAACTGAGCAACTTTCACTTTCATTAAATCATACAAACTGGTCACTGATAATTACTTAAGTTATAGAACTACCTTGATGTAACAACCTGTGTTAAAACTAAACTTGTTAACATTTGACTTATTCTTTCTTTTGGCATTTATTCAATAATAATTATTGATGAGAATGAAAACTATCTTCAAGTGTATTTCTCTCAACTTTATAATAGGAAAAAAACAGGAAAGGGCTGTCAGGAAATAAAGGATTTGTTTAATTATGGTAAATACTGAGGAAATACCTTTTATCCTTAAAAATAATATTGTAGAAGAATAAGCAGTATGGAAAGATGTTCATAGTATACAAATTAAAAAAACAGGTTATGAAAGAAAAAAACAGATTATGAAATAATATGTACTGTTTGCATTATGTCATGTTCTTTATATTTGTCTATATGCTTATGCACATAGATATTAACACACAAAGAGAGAAAATTGTTTAAATACAAAGATTGTTTCATTGTAGAACTAAACCTAAACCTAGTGAGTTATTAAGGGTCCTGAATAAAAATGTAAATATTATGAACCCTGAGTTAGTGAAAAGTAAAAGAATAGGGAATGGGGAAAAAGGAGAAAAAGCTGAGTGCTACTCAACTCATCATCTCTCATGACAAGGGATTAACTGAAATTGTCTAAAACTGAAATTTTTTTCAAAATTATTGCTTAAAACTTTTAATCTTTCCGTATTTAAATTTTTATCTGTATATTTATATATATGCCTGTGTTTATATTTTAGCATATGAATCTCTTGTAGAGCAGAAGTGATTCCTTTAGTTCCTTTTCTTTTTATGTTGGATTAAACTAAAGTTAATCTTACAGATTTTTATTTAAAGATCGCACATATGTATGGTATTTTCTTCCTCTTACATAAATTGATTTCTCTCTCTCTCTCCCCTGACCCCTCTGTCTTTACGTGCATTTAGAAAGGTACCTTGCATGACACTCAGGAGATGTTAGCATGTTGTTTCCAGGATTAGGGATGACTTGTTACGTTCTTCTTTGTATTCTTTTATATGCCTTGAATTTTTAACATGACAGACATACATTATTTTTATAAAACAACCATCATTATTTTTTTTAAAGACATTCATATTGTCCAAGAAAGATTCAATGGTTCTCATAATCAGCAATAATGCCATCGGCCAGATGAGTCATTGCTAGTCTTCATTTTGAGATAGCCTAGTGTGTCTTAAACTCTTTAAATTCTCAATTATTTCATGTTTATTAATTTTTTAAAAGATAGCACTTTCTAGAAAAGTAGTTGCTTAACTAGACAGATAATATTTTGGGGGAAATTAAAGCATAATTCGAAGTGTTGCCCATGAGTTCTTATAGCTATATCATAATTGTCTTCATTTCAACAAATCTCCAGGATAATTACTTATATCATTCCAGTATCTAGCCCACATTATCCTGTCCTATTAGAGAATTTCTATAAATTTTGTTCATAAAATGTTAAGAGGCTTGTCTATATGTAACTCACAGCCTATGGAAGTAACTACTTCTGATCTAGAAAACAAATTGTTTCTTTACAGCTACATCATCAGCTTGCTTTATCACAATTTTTTAGCTTTTACTTTCAGTCTTTCCCAGCCTAGAATCCAGACAAGATAAGTTATTATAGTTATAACAGAGAGGTCAGAGCCTAGTGTTTGTTAACCAGGGGCTATTGAGTCCGACAGACCAACGTTGAGTTCTTGCTGTGGCCAGATTAGCTGAGTTCCTTGTAAATCCCGTTTGTCTCATCTGTAAAAGTGCACATATAATACCAACTTCAGAAATTGTGATCTCTGAGTGACATAACATATAAAAGCAGTTTGCAGTATATTAGTTAAAATAGAAAACTGACTTAGAGATTTTTCGTCTACTGCAGTAAGAGCAGGCATAGGCAGTGCAGCAGTTCAGTAATACCGACAAGGACTAGGTTCCTTTCATATTTCTGCTCTGCCACCCTTAGCTTGTATATAGGCTTTGTCCTTCAGCATTTTGCCTTATAGTCACAGGACATCCTTCCTGGGCAGGAAAAACCAGTGTTGCTTTTTACTCTTGAAACAACCTCCCTAGAGACTTTTGCCTGCACCTCAACTGGTTAAGCTCTGCTAGTTGCAGGAAAGTCTGAAAAGTTGAATATTTTTGAGCTGGGTATATTGTCACTCTGATCAAAGTTGGAGTATTCCTATTAATAGGAAGAGGATAATGACTATTTAAAGTAGGCACCTTATAATACTGATATGGCTTCCCTGGTGGCTCACTGTTAGAAAATCTGCCTGCCAATGCAAGAGACATGAGTTTGCTTCTTGGGTTGGGAAGACCCCTTGGAGAAGGAAATAGCAACCCACTCCAGTGTTCTTGCCCAGGAAATCCCATGGACAGAGATCCTGCCAGGCTGCGGTCAGTGGGGTCACCAAAGAGTTGAACACGACTTAGCAACTAAACAACAGCAAAATATTAATAACTGATAACTGCTGTTATCTTTAATAGTTGCTAATGTCTCTACTGAGTGAACTTTATTCCTGCTCTATCCACCATAAAACCATACTAATTGTCTTTCCTAGTCTAATGGCATTCATTGGATGCCATAACAGTTCTTTAACATGAAAGTACTGAACTTGACTGTTTGAGGCTACACATGAATGAGTCTCTTCTTGGCCTCCAGCCTACATTTGAGTTATTTTGTTATGAGTAATGCCATAAGAGTGTCTTTCCAGATTGTGTTTTTGTTATACCCTGAATTTTTTCTTTCTTATTCATTCCAAGAGTAGGGTTATAGGGTTAAAAGGATACAGCGTTTCTATGACATTTCTCTAAAATAATTATATGTTGTTACAAAATCTTCCAGCAGTATATTTATGTTCTTTAATCTCAACATCAGAGCACTTGTTTTGTTTTTGTTTTTTTTTTTAGGTTTGATAGATCTAATTATCTATAGTGATAAACCAGTAGTATTTCATTTTAGTTTGCATGTTTAAGTTAAAAAAAAATTCTTTACTTTTTAAAAAATGTTGATTTCTTCTTAATAAGCATTATCTATTTGCTTGCTGCATTTTTTCTAGTGGCATATGTAAGTAATATGTGAATAAATGTGGAAGGAGAAGATGCAGAGAGGCACAGTATGCTCCATTCCCCAAGGCCATGGTCGCAGTTGTAGAGTGTGTTCACATACATGCTCTGAACTCAGTCTCTGCCGGCCATCCATCAAGGCCTGCTTTCCTGAGGCTTTGATGCCATTGAAGGATCTACCCTATTTAGTGACTCAAGCAACTTTGAAGAGGGCAACATTTTAAAAAAGAAAATAAATGTTATTTTTCTGATAACTGTGTTAAAACTAACAGATAAAATTAATAAGGATACTCCTCTTTTGGTGATTTTCATGGAGATTATCTACTATAGATTTATTTTTGTCCCTTCCCCCTGATAATTTTCTAGCTCCTTAATTAAATCTTTATAGAATACATATACAGATGCCCCAAATATGAACATACTTACTTGAGTAAAAGCCAAAGGGTGTGTGGGGTCAGGATAGATTAATTACTTCCAGAGGAAGGTTTGGATAAACTATTAAACTGCTTTCTTATATTAATGAATATAATTGAAAGCAAGTTTATTTTACCCCTATTCTTTAATTGATCACAATAGTATGATCTGCTTTCACTTATCCATTTAATTCAGTTTGTTGGTGCAATGAATTAGTTGCCACTTTGCTTTGCAACCTGTGGAGGCCTTTTTAAATTTTTGTTTATCTTGAAATGTCAAATATTCTTCATAGAATTCTTCTAGTTGTTAACTTAATGGTTTTGTTAACAATTACAAAAAGCAAACATTAATTGTTTATTGAAAGGCTTGTGATTCAATCTGTTTACCCATTGGCTGTAGAATTGGTCTAAATGTTGTTTTATTATTGATTTCCCTTTCAATTGAGTGAGCTTTTTCATCACTAAACTTTTAGGCTTATCTTTTTTTGCAAATATTATGTTTAGGAGTTACTTGTTCTCTAAATTTTTTCCCCCAGTATTTTTGTTTTTTACTTATACCTAACTGAATTCATGAATAATGTCTATAGTAATCATTCTGGAAAAAAAAAACTACAAGCCAATAAGTTGAGATTGTAAAGATTAGAATAATATTATTTTAAGTTATAATAGCATCTTGTTTGTAACTAAAAATATTTGCTCTGGCCATACTGTCCAAAAGTCAGTTCTGCATATTCTTGATTGTCTAATTTATTGAGTTGTTAGGCAGCATTCCATTTCTTAGCTGATAAATTTTGTTTTGCTTTAGCCTGCTTTCTTTTTAAGAGGTGGTCAGTGTAATAATTCATAGTATTTGAAATGTTTATAGTTTATAGAAATATTTGGTCTGGAATGATACTGTAGTCCAAAATGTTCTATTGTCTTCTGAGTAGTTTTGGCATTCGTAGAACAAAAAGGATGATTCAAGTCTTTATTCAAGTTCTCTAAAGGCAAATTCTAAACAGAAAAGCAGTTACAGAGTACTGTCTCTTTTATCAGTATTCAGAGATTGAAAAAATATTCTCAAGAAAGATGATATGTTTTAGTAAGCAGCCTCAGTAATAACTGTTATTGCAAGCTACATAGTTGACTTTCTTCACATTAAGACCAAAGAAACTGAAATCTTAGGTATTGGCCAAACCTGTGTTTTAAATGTACTTTTGGCTTTACCTTAAAAGTAATCTTTTGGAAAAACAGTGGTACATCATTGTGGTCTTTTGAAAAATGTTCGTTTGTTGAATTCTGCATTTCCCTTCGTATGCTTTTTTCTCTTCTCCTGTCTCTTCTCATTCTGTAGATTCAGACCCAGGACATACAAGTGAGAATTGGGGGGAGAGACTTATATCTTCTTACAGGACATGCTCAGGTAACTAGATTATCAGGGGTTCCTGTTAGCCAGTGGTTTCTGTCACATTTATAATTAATTCTTGTACTATAAATAACTTATTTTCAAACCAGCATATAGATGTCTGTGGTTGAATAAGTGACTATATGAGTGACATAAAATTTTCCAGCCTCATTTAAGAGCTCCCATGTACCATGTCCAAGACGTGTTCTGTGTGGATGCTGCAAGCAGGATCCTGCACACAACCACTTAGGCATGCAGCACAGCTGGGGGTCCATTCACGTAGAAGAGTATGAGAGGCACACCCTTGGAGCTGTGCTGAGCAGCGACCCCTGTGGGAAGGTGCCCTGGTCCTCCACCTCTTAGCTGTACACCCTTCACACATTATACCACACATAGTGATTTTCATAGACAGTATCATCTTACTCTTCAAGCATGCAGTGTTTTTTAAAACAAATTTAAAAAATTTTCAGTTGACCTCTTTAGTCTGTTGACTTTGCTGCTGCCCCTGTTGAATTTAAAAATGGATTAAAACACCAAGTTTCCTGGAGAAATGCTATCAAAGAGTAAATGTATCCCCTAGTATGTGAAAACTAAATTAGCTAGGTGTTTTGATTCTTTTTTTTCCTACTTTTTTATTATCTTACATTCTTATCTCTGAACTTTTTAAATGTAAAATATTGTTTAGTCCCTCAGTGTCCAGTTTTTAGCATATGGCCTTTAACTGTAAAAACTAAAATAAAATTTCTGTTTCCAATATACTTTGTATTCATTTTATAAATTTGTGGAGTTGGTATACAGCAAAGCAATTATTCTTAAAATCACGCTGAAAACTGTTAATTGACCTGATAAGTCAGTAATACTTAGTTATCAAAATTGGGCAATGGCTTGTCTACAGTCAGCATTAAATTGAACAGATCTACACTTACTGTGGAGTTAGTGGTACTTTCCTAAAATGGGGCCCCTGAGTACCAAGGCACACCTAAAAGAGCAGTATGTGATGAAATTGCCTGTGATCTGAAGGTCATGGCTGGAAATCAGAAGATATAAGCACTCACCTGTCAGAAACTAGATATTGCAGAACCATCTGTATTTGAATTGTAGCTCCCACGGTTTCATTCCTTATACTGTGACTGCTTTGTGGGAAAGTGTCATATTTCTGAGACATTGGTAGGCTTATGAACTAGTTCCCCAAGAAAAACATTTTTGTCTCTTCTCAGTATACTTAATTGAGGTGTGACAGTGTTGAGCTTTCTGTTTATTCTGATAAGACAAGGGAAGAAGGTACTAATTTTCAGAATTATAAGACTGAGATATCTCTGTAATTCTAAAGGTCCTCTGAACCTTAAGTAAAGAATACTGGATTGTTGAAAAGGCTGTATCTGTTTTTCTTTAGTCTTAAGTGAACCACCTGGATTTTTCTTTAAAAATCTCTCAAGGTGGTCTTCCCTGGTGGTCCAATTGTTAAGAATCCATGCTTTCACAAGTTTTGTTGAATGGTTTCAACATGAAAAAGCACACTTTGGGACATACTAATCTAAGATTTATGATTTTTAAAAATGGTATAAAGTTATCTCTAATCTGTCTTACACCAGCTACTGTTCACCTACCTTATTTTCCTGTCTCATGTAAAGCATGAACTCAAGACAGATGGCTAAGGTAACTCAGAGAAAAAATAGTGTTCATATAAATGCTAGTATGAGTTTTTGATTGAAAATTTGGAATATATCCAGTTTGTTTATTCTTTTCCAAAATATAATATCTTTGTTCATTTGCAGCATGGAATTTTAATAATGAATTCATTATTTAAAGTTTTTCTTCTATAAACTGAGTATCACTTTAAAGTATATTCTTTTTAGGAGGTCATTGCAAGTATAGAGGAACATAATTGATTTTTGCTGTTTGATGTTATTCTTACTGAATTTACTTTTAAAAAATTTTTTGGCCACTCCTTCATGGCACATGGGATCCTAGTGCCCTAACAGGTATCTAGCCTCCATCCCCTGCATTGAAAGTGCAGAGTCTTAACTACCGGACTGCCAGGGAAGTCCTCAAGCATTTTCTTCTTAAAACATTGTGTTACTAAAATGTGATTAATACCAGAAATCAAGAGTTTGTAAATGAGAAAATAAAAACTTTTTTCCAAAAATTTTTAAGTGTTTTAAGGATAGATATGTATTTTTTATTTTGCTTCTTCTAATTACTAAACTGTACTTTTTTTTCTTAAAACAACTTCCTTCTTTAAACTGTTATAAGAGTTTTAATCTAAGTGAGAAGTACATTTAAAGTATATTTAAAGATTTGGTATTCAGATCAACAACTATTAAAACAACATTTGTGGTTCCTCATTAAATCTGAGAACCAAACCATACAGAACATTATTAGGAAAAAGAATGTGTTTCAGGAAAAAATAGGTTTCTCCAAAAGACCTATTTGGGGGTTTATAGTAAATTTAGTAAGTTAGGTGTAACACTGCTGAAATGGGTTTTATACTAATTAGATCGTTAATAAAATGAAAAGTTAGAAAATAGTATATTAGCACTATTAATAAAGGCTGAATTTAATAATCTTGGAATTTTTTATTTCTGTTATGTAAAATTCTGCAAATATCAACAAAATGGACATTTTCAGAGCTATTGAATTTTGGGTGATTTGTGGCCAGCAGAGTGTAAAGCAGAACCTTTGATTTTTCCAGGCCTTTAGGATGCCAGTTTGTCCTGATTAACTAAGTGGCACACTACAGGATTTTATGCCTTAAATAATAATACAGTAATATATAAATAGTATCAAACTTTTATTCGTTTCTTGAAAGTTACTAGATCAATAAATACTTATCTCCTAGAGTAGTCTTAACTGCTGTCCACATCTACCTTAGAAAAATGACAGTATTGACTACTACTTGTCTTCTTGCACTCATTTTGCTATTTTACATTTGTTTACAATTTTTATTAATTTATTTATAGTTTTGTAGCTCCTCTCTATACTGCAAACCTAGATCAGTAAATCCCAGATGTTGGTACAGGATTTTCCAGGAAACAGATGCCTAGACAGTTAACAGGCAGCTTATCTCACACGGCCACTTGAATTAATTCCCAGAAATGTCCTTAAGGAAGGAGTAACAGGCACCTATGTTTCTTTGACCTGTGGAATTCAGTTCCATCTGAATTTTCTGGCTTATAATGGGGAATGTTGGCTCCATTGGCCAGAGATTTGCCAAATAGCTAAATCTGAGAACTGGCTTTATGATGAATCAAATCTCTTTGAAAATTTTTTAGACATTTTTGAATTTTTGCAGGGTCTCTATTAATTCCCCCAGCCCCTTCCCACACACATATAGAATCTTTAATTTTGCTCAGTTTCAGCTTTGATTAATAGTCTTCCATGTTCAACTATCCTGTAACTTCAATAGAGTGATTTGGTGTTATTTTTCAGTAATTACTCTGTGTGATGTGTTTTGTCTTAAACAGCTCCTTAGAAGATGTACAAATTATTAGTGGAATTAGGGAGGTAATATGAAGGAACATTGCTATATAGGCTTAGGAATAATTGAATAAGATTAGAGTGAATGAAGGAGTTTCAGAGATGTAAAACTAAGGAATGTTTGAAGTGTTCTTTAATAGAAATGATCATTAAAATACAGATCTTACTAGGACTAAATTTCCAAATGTTAAGTAATTTTCTGAAAATTATACAATTAAGATGTTCTTTTCAAAGCATTCAGGGAGAAAATTGCTTATATAATAAAATCCTAGTGCTCTTTTGTCTGCCTATTGCAAGTTTCTCTGTTACTCTTGTTTCTCATAAACATGTATCATCTATTTTTAAAAAGTCTCCTTATGCTTTACTTTTGAGTGCTTAAATTTGTTTCAGATTCTTACATATTTATTAATAATTCCAGAGAAAGAAGGTCCAGAAAAGAAGAAAACAAAAAAGGAAGCTGGAAATAAGAAGTCCACTCCAGTTAGCATTCTTTTTGGTTACCCACTTTCAGAGCGAAAGCAGATGGCACTTCTTATGCAGATGACAGCAAGGGACAACAGTCCAGGTAACACTCACCATCATTGAGTTCCTATGTGTTCGTGGTTTTCTTCACATTGTAGTTTTGTCTTGACAGTTATTTTTAACTACTTTAAATGTTTGTCCTTTCTTGGACTTAATCAGATTCTTGTAAGTTTGTAATCTTAACATGTGTTTGTGTGACAATTGTTTATTGTCTGTCTCATCTACTAGATGAAAAGTTAAAAGTTACACAGGAGCAGGGATCTTGGCTCTTAGCAAATGTTCTGCAAATGTTTGTCTACTAAAATGAGTACAGTTGACCTTTGAACAGCACAGGTTTGAACTGAGTGGGTCCACATACACACGGATTTTTTTCAGTAGTAAATACTGCTGCACAATCCATGGTTGATTGAATTTGCAGATACAGAATTCTGGATTTGGAGGGCCAACTGTAAGTTGCACATGGATTTTCAAATGTGAGGAGGGTGGGTACCCCTGATCCCTGAGTTGTTAAATGGTCAGCTGTTATTTAAAATTGGATCGGTCCACATGAGAAATCTGTTGCAGAACTGTGTGTGCTTTTACCTTACTGCAGAAATTTTCACTTCAGTTTCTGTAAAGCTGCTTCTAGGTTTATAGTTTACTTTTATAGTTATACTTTACTTTTATAGTTAGCATTCTATTGTAAGCTGGTAATCTTATCACGTGCTTTTAGAAGCAAGAGTGTAATTCATGTTTTATTGTTTAAGATCTGCTGCAATTTATTTTGGGCCTCTGTGGTGGCTCAGCAGTAGAGAATCTGCCTGCAGTGCAGGAGACATGGGTTTGATCCCTGGTCCTGGAAGATCCCCTGAAGAACGGGATGGCTCCCCACTTGTTTTTCTTACCTGGGAAATCCCATGGGTAGAGGAGCCTGGCAGGCTGCACTTCACAGGGTTGCAGAGTCGGACACAACTTAATGGCTGGACAACAACAGCAACAAAATTTATTTCAAAAGAAAAAATATCTGCAGTGTATTATGTAAATTTATTTCATGTTTCATTTCACATTTCCGTTTAAGATGTTGTGCTTCTTGTGTGTGTTTGTGTTTATTCAAGTATCAATAGTATTGCCCTCCAGAAATGATTAAAGATGGCTTACCAGCAGGATGAAGACAAAGAAGGAACAACCAACCAACTTGCTCATTTATTAAAAGAGTTTAAAAGGTAGATAAGGTCCAGACAGCTGGGCTGGGATAGTTACTACATTGAGCAGTGGACTTAGTTATACATTCTGGTAGCTAAAAACAAGAGTTTTAAGTTGTATAAAGTTCTCATTGACCAATGCAAGAAGAAAGTAAATTTCTTTGGAGAAATCTTTTTCTTTTGAAAAGAAAAGTTCCCAAAATTTGGAAGAAAAATTCTTTTCTTCAGAGCATCTTTGTATAACACTTGGGGTAACATGACAGACCCTGTTGAAATGCATTGACAAGAACACAATTTTTCTAGTGAACTTTTCCACTGTTGGCTCTTTGTTATTAAAAAATGGGACAACTTGGTAAAATTCTTAGAGTTTCTATAGATCATAGTTTCCATTAACACGTAAGTGTATCTGTATCTTTCACTAACAAGAGCATGTTAGGGCTTTCTCCTTAAAGTGGGGCATGTTGTTTTGGTTATTCTTCTGCCTTTCCACCCACAACTTGGGGAGACGGGCCAAATCAAAGTTATTCACAGTGTTAGACTTCAAATGTTTCTGTAAAGTGTTGACTCTGACTCAGATTTAATAGCTAGATGAGAAAACTTTTGTTTCTTAAAAGTGTTATTTAATACTGTGAACCTCTATCCTTGGAGTAAATTAAAGAATTAATGCAATAAGGCAAGAAGCTAAAAATCTTTCCTCATTTCCAATAACCTCTCCCTTTGAGCTGCAAGCACTATTCATAATTTCTTCTCAAAGTTTTTTTAGATATAAACATGTAAATGTATCTTTTGTTGCTGTTTCTTTTTAAATATAAATAAGATTAATACTGTAATACTGTTCTGCAGTTTGTTCTTTTTTTTTTAAGGGTATATCAGTCCTTCTTATTAATACATGTATAGAGGGGAAAGCTTTTGAAGTGTCAGCCTGTTTGCCAGCTGATAGATACGGTTGTTAAGGTTCATAGTCTTATCCATTACATAACTCATTTTCCATGTTTATTCTGTTTGCCATTATGGGTAGTGCTACTGGTATTTTGTCTGTGTTATATCATTTTGGTATGGCTGAGAAAATTTTCTATGAGTTAATTCCTTGCAAGTTGTTTGAATTTAAAACTGCCTTTTTGTTTTGAAGTTCAATGACTAATTTCCTAAATAAATTACTTGATTAAAAATATTGTAATAACCATGTATTCACTCAACAAATGTTGTGTAAGTACACTGTGTAACAGGAAGTCTTCTAAGCAGTCGAGATACAGTAATGAGTTAGACAAGATTCATGTACTTCTGGAGTGTACATTATAGATAAGAAACTGTTACTAACTCGGTGTACTTTAAAATTCAAAAGGTAAACTTTAAACCTTTTTCTTACTGAGAAAAGAGGGGTAATACTTTAGCACTCCCATTGTGGCAGTTTGCAAGGAAGTCATTATATGATGCCAGAAAATTATTTTCTGTAGACTTTTTTTTTTTCCCTTAGAGCTGTTGTTTCTTTTAAATAGTTGTAAATTTTCAGAATTATTAACACTGTACATACGTATCAAATCCTTAATTGATTAAGAAACTATTTTTTGTTTTTTTCTTAGTTCTGAAATGGGGAGGAGAGGACTTTGTCATGCAGTTAACTTTCTTGTTTTTAAGCGAGAAACTGGAACAAATACCAAAAGATAGAAATCAAAGCAAAGCACTTTTTTCCCCCTCCTTTATCGGCCCATTTTTAAAGGCCTTTTTCTAGACTGTCCTTGTTTCTTATGGATCATAAGCTTTATTTCATACTAAAATCATGTATGACTTTAATTTGTACCTAATGTTGGAATACATACTTTATGTCCAGTACTTTGAATAAGAGGTGTAAACTCTAGCCTTCAATGTCTTTTCATCTAGGTCTTGACATAACATCATAACATGCCATGAAAAATGTTTTTTTTTGCAGTTTATCAAGTTATTCACTGAGCAAGTACTTTCAGAGTAGAATTGACAGAATGAAACATTTTTTCTTAGTTGGCACATGCAGTATTTGATAACCCTAAAGGAAGATCTACTCTGGGTCGTTATCAGATTATCCAAGTCAAGTGTCAGATTGTTTGGGTGAGAACGTACTCCCTCAATCCAAGAAATTAGCACATTACCTGTAAAAACCTTTACATGAATATACAAAATATTTAGTCTAGAACTTTAAACTTTTCTCTTTCTTACAGATTCCACACCAAATCATCCATCGCAAACAACACCAGCCCAAAAGAAAACTCCCAGTTCCTCATCTCGACAAAAAGACAAAGTTAATAAAAGAAATGAACGTGGTGAAACTCCTTTACACATGGCAGCTATTCGGGGAGATGTAAAACAAGTCAAAGAACTAATAAGTTTAGGAGCAAATGTGAATGTGAAAGATTTTGCAGGTAAGACTTGTAATTAAAGACATAGGAACTAAAATTTTGAGATTATCCCCTAAACAGACTCTGGTTTCAATTTAATCAACATTCTTTGTTTCTCTTTCTAAAATAAAAACGTTCTAAAAGTATACTTTAATGTAAAACTATTTTGGAGTTTGTACATGAAACCCTGATCTCAGGGTTACTGACAATTCCATGTCAGTAGTCACTCAAATTCTTAAATATTAAGCTTCTGTTTTATCTGGCATATTACCATATAATTTTTTCTCTAATTTAGGATAAACATTTTATCCAATTTTTTGATAATCAGGCATATAAACCTCCAAAAAAAAGACCTTTGATCCATTTACACTCCCATCAAGAGTATATGGAAGAAAGGAAAAAAAAAATGTATATGAGAGAGCCCTGGGTAGGGGAAAGAGATAAATTAGTAAGAGTTTGGGATTAACATATACACACTACTGTATATAAAACATTAATAGATAAGAATCTGCTGTATACAGGGAACTCTATTTAATATCTTGTATTATTGCAAGACCCTAACAAGCTTATTTTGCCCTTTTCTGCTTTTTATTTTATAATTCAGTTGATTTTTATAAATTATAGCAAGTTTATATTCATTAGGTAAGCTTAAATGTTAGTTTAATACTTCGGTCAAATAATCTAGCCCCGTGGGAAATAATGGGGCTTCCCTGGTGGCTCAGAAGGTAAAGCATCTGCCTGCAGTGTGGGAGACCTTGGTTCCATCCCTGGGTCGGGAAGCTCCCCTGGAGAAGGAAATGGCAGCCCACTCCAGTATTCTTGCCTGCAGAACCCCACGGATGGAGGAGCCGGATAGGCTACAGTCCACGAGGTTGCAAAGAGTCGGACACGACTGAACGACTTCACTTTCATGGGAAATAATACTACTGTGGATGAACGTTCTGTAAAATTAGTGGTTTTCTTAGGTACTTATTTTCAGTAGCTTGTTCATCATTCCTTTTTCCTTCTGTATTGTATACATTTAGAACTACTGTATCACACATGGTTATAGTAAAAGCATATGTGTTGAATTAGTAGAAGTGAACCATATGTTCAATTAATATTGTAACTTTAGGTTGGACACCACTGCATGAAGCTTGCAACGTGGGATATTATGATGTTGCTAAGATACTGATAGCAGCTGGAGCAGATGTTAACACACAAGGATTAGATGATGACACTCCACTCCATGATTCCGCTAGTAGTGGGCACAGAGATGTGAGTATGACAGGAGGAGCAGTAATACACATCTTCAAAAGATAAATTTAACCCAGAGTAATTTAACTCACTTCTTAGTTGTACAATCTGGTGTCATATTTCATTCATTGCCTGACCAACTCATTTGTGTTTTGTTTTCCCTTTTTCTACCTTCTGATTGCTAATTCCTATTATGGGTTTAGCATTATCTTTGCATAAAATCTGTTTAATTTGATAATTAAGCAACTTGGCAAAATTTTTATTTGAAGGGCCATTCTACTGTCGGATAATTAGATGTAGTGATTAAAACATATTTTACTTATAAAAATTTTACAGTCATACCTTTTTTAAGATATTAATATTTAATGATTCCTTTGTACATAACATCTGTTCTTGAATTTTAGCTGACATTATTTAAGATATTCAGATGCTTATGTATATAAGACATGATTTAATCAAACACGATTATATATGCTTGAAAATTTAATGACATCTTTAAATACCATGTTTGATTTGTTTTGATGCAATATTATGACCCATGCTGGGTTTTAAATTCCATTTGCATTTTCAGTCTCTGGCATATTGACATCAAAGCCTACCCCATCTTTGTTGTAATGAAGCTTATGTTTTAAGCGTGTTTAATGCTTAGTTCCATTACTGTAACCTGCTTATAGCCAAAGCAGATCAACCTAGGGCACTGTTAGCAGTGGTTCTAAAGCAAAGGATTCGGTTCATCAAAGAAGTAGTTTCTGTTTTTTACTTAATTTTGACTTTTATTGACGAATACTTGTGCATAGTTTAGAAAGTTGAAAAGTATTGTTTAGCTCAGAAGAATATCTGAATTCTCCCTTGCATCCCTCCACATTTCCCAGTACCATTAGCCAAAAGCAGCTGTTGTGTTTCTTCTCTTCATTTCTAACAAGGTGTAAGCTATTTTGCTTTATTAAATTTTTAGTCTCTAGTTACTGACCCCTGCAAAGGATTTTAATATATATTGCTTTTCTGAGACTCACAGAGTGTACTCTAATTTTATTTTGCCTTGGATTTTTATTTATTACCTTGGTTACTACTCAGCCTTGTTCTAATTTTTCTTATTTAGTTCTCTGTGTAAATATATATTTTGTATTTCCTTACTCTCTTTCATAACTCTAAAATGCCCTGAATAAGGTCAGACACATCCATCAGTTCATTGTTTTTGAGAGTATCTTTGTATACAAAATGTCTCGTATCCTGCTTCAGGTGAGACTAGCTGCCCTAGATCTGTGGCACAGATGCTGTCCAAGGATTTCTCTTTGCTGTGAATTTCATGTGGGATTCTCAGTCTCTGTGAGATTTCCAGTCTCTGGCTGGAGTGGTTGTGAATTTGTGAACTACATTGCATTAACTTCTCACAGCAATATTTGTGTGTTTTCACTTGGAGATAAGTGTTGTAAATGATTCATATGTATTAATCACTTTAATCATCACAGTAAATGAACATCCTTTCGTGTCTCTTGTGGATACTGTATGACCCACTACATTCCAGTACCCTTAGCTTCTCCCGGAGTTTGGAGAAACAAAGACACGTGAGGTACCATTGGTCTGAGACACTCCCAAGTTTATTAAACTGATAAGAGTCCAAGTTAAGGGATTAAATAAGATAAATGCCAGTGTCTTCTTAAGACAAAGTGAGGTAAGGATATATTAAACTGGAAGAGCTGTTGTTCAATACACTCTCTGCTCTCTGGTGAATAACATAGGACATGCTTTCTAACACCCTAGCTCGAATTTTGATGTCACCTCATACCTTTATGCTAGAAAAATCCCCTTTAGTTCTTTCATTAGCAGCAAACATTCTCAGCCTTATTTTCTTTTTTGACACAATAAAAATTTCAGGGTCATGCTGCCTGCCTTTTAAAAGCCGCTTTAGTTGAGAAAAAAATGAAACTTGGTGAAGATAGATACAAATTCAGTTCTGGCCTGGCCAGTTTGCCAAATGTGTGGTCTCAAGTTACTTTTTTCCTCTCAACTTCCTTTTTCTCATCCATAATAAATAATACCTCTTTAAAGGGGATATTTTGAAGGAAAAAAAGACACTGAGCACATAAACCTACCTTGAAATCTAAAATGTTATAGTAATGTCAGGGTTAGAGATTAAAAGGCTACTTTTATATTGTTATTTTTTCAAATATACTCATATTTTAGAAACTAAAACTCAGAAATTAAAAATGTCATTTTCTCATTTAAATCTTTCTAAAAGACTTTTTCATAATTCTCAAGTTCAAATTTTGAAGAAAAATGAAGCCTATAATGTTATTTTTCCTAAACTGATGCTTACCGTTGTTCCAGTCTCTTTTGCTCCTTTGACAGCTCATACATACCTATGGGATAGCACTTAACTATATTAATTTTTACTCATGTGCTTGTCTGTTTACTGCATTGAATATTGAGTCTTATACATATGTAATTTATGTTCTGGGTGTGCTGTGTTAAATACTATGCTCACTTCCCTTTTTTAAAAAAGCATTATTGATAGTTTTTCAGACATGAATAGTTTTTCTTCAAATGTTGCATAAAAAGATTTCTTGATTGCTAAATGTAATGTTAAAGAATTATGTCTTATGAGTAAGACATGTTTCTATGAATACAAGTTTCTAAATATGCACATTGCTGCAAAATATTTCCAGAAGCTGACCTTTGAGCTGATGTACTTACAAGGATTCAAACACTATTTCCAGTCTCCTTCCAGAGGGAGACTGGCATGCTGTTTTCAGGAGACCTTTGCTTTTCCTCCTACCAACATGCCTAGGATAGTAGGAGTCATAATTCAGAGCTGTTGAGGGCTATTTTCTCCTTATTCTTTACTTGTCCCCAAAGAGGAGGAGGGAAATGAGAGCTACCAAAAGCTCATTTGTGTTTATCTGTACCATATGATTCTCCACCAAAGAATTAGATTTCTTCCAGTGATACTCATGATGACTGCAACCATCCGTAAGACATATCTAAGGTGGGAAAAACAGAAAGATAGCAGTTCTGTCCTAAATTATTCAGAGTAAGAGAAGATTGCTTTTCTTAACATAGCTTACTAAGAACCTAATCTTTGGCCTACCTTTCTCAACTGTATAGTACTTCATAATATATATTCTTATAGTAGCCCTCTTCCTGGTTCTGTTTTAGATACCACCTACCATTATTTTCTTCTTGTCTCAACATTTTTACCTACTTCTAATATACTGCCTGCTATTTTAAGCAACTTTGTTAGTTTAAATTCTTTTTAGAATAATTTTTTGCATGTGAGGATGATCTGTAAAGTATTGATTATTTAGATTTGGGGTTTTTGTAGCATGCTTGAATGAACTAATTGTCCCATCATAGGAATAAATATTTTTAAAATTATTTCCTAATAGATATAGAAGGCATTCAGCAGTATCAAGATCTTCTATTTTCTCAAGCTAGGACTCTAGCCTAAGGAAATAAGGCTAAAAATGTGGTGCGGGAAATATTTCAATTTTGAAGATGTTCACTATACCAGTATTTATAATAACTAAAGGTTTTTGCCTTCAGTTACCTTCTCAAACCTCTCAAATGATAGTAAAGTGAGATTTTAAAGAACATGGACCCACAAGGACAAAGAACAGACAAAACAGGAAACCAGTATTTAGGGAGATAGAAATTTGAGGACTGAGTGGTGACTACATAGAACAGGGTTTGGCAAACTTTCTGTAGAAAGCCAAATAGTAAATACCTCCTTCCTTCTTCCTCTTGCTCTTTTTTCTGTGTCCTCCTCTATATTTCTCCTTTATTGATTTTTTTAAGTATTTCATGAGAATATAAAAATTATTCTTAGTCAGCAGGCCAGATTTGGCCTACAGACCAAATTTACCAGCTTCTCCTGATTTAAAAAAATCCAAGAAAATTGAAGCCAAAGCCATTTCAGCACAAAATCCCAGAAAAACTGAAGCTCAGCAATTGATGGCTGGGTTCACCTGGAAATGCCTGTTGAATAAGAAAACAAGAGGATTGGATCAAACTGTTTTTGACCCTCATAGCCCTTCTTAACCCTTCACAGCAAGCTGCAAATCTCCCTGGCAGATTTGATTGAAGGTTTATTTTCTAACAAGTATAAACCATGCTGTCTGGACTGACATACCACAAGAATAGTTGGAAGTAAGGATTAAACGTCAGCTTATTAAGACCTCAGTCAAGCAGAATGGTGACAGGAAGGCGTGAATTGAGAGATTTCTCCATAGAAAAGTGAACTAGCCCAGAGAGGCTCCCATGAAGTGGCCCAGGCATATCACATTAGCACGAAGTCCATCTATCAGCAAGTCCTACCTAGTCCTGGAAAACTTACCGTAAGTCTTTTAGTTCCTTAGTCTTAAATGTGGACAGCCATTGATCCCCTGACCTTTGAGAAAGGTCTCTGCTATGGAAGGTAAAGATCAGAACAGGCAAATGGAAAAATAGGAACTTAGAGGATACAGACCAAGAGAAACTTCAAAAAAAAAAAAAAAACTCATTACCTTCCCCAAAGAGATGAGAGTTTCTTGTAGCCATGAAACAGAAACTGAAGGTTTGCTAAATAAGGAAATTAACAAATTACAAAAAAAAAAAAAAATAAGCTCTTAGAAATTAATAAAATGATAACAGGATGAAAAATAGAATATTGAAGGTTAAACATAAAGTTGAGAAAACCTCCCAGAAACCAGGAAACAAAAAGACAAAGATCAAGGATGGGAAATGAGAAAAAATAAGATTAATTCAGGAGATCCAGTGTCTTAAAGAGTTCTTAGAAGACAGAATAGTGAAAACACAGGACTTTATCAGATAAATAAAAGCAGGAATTTTCTCAGAACTGATTGAAAGGGCAATTGAATGCTCAGCATGAATGTTAAAAAGACTGAGATCAAAATTCATTATCCTGGGATTTCTGAGCCATAGGGCAAAGGACGTCCTCCAGCTTACAGAGAGAAAAAGCAAATTCCATGTAAAGGTAAAAAATCAGAATGGTGTCAGACTTTTCAATAACAGCACTAGAAGCCAAAAGATAATGCTCATGCCTTTGAAATTGGAGGGAAAACTCTTCTATGTCCAAAGTAAGTATTACTCAAGTGAGGATAGAGTAAAGGTATTTCCCAACATGTAGAAAAAAAATTTCAGATTATTTAACCATTTCTCAAGAATCTCCTGGAGGTAGTGTTTCAACAAAATGAGGGAGTAAACCAACGAAGAAGATACGACCTGAAGAATTCAACACAAAACTGAGGAAAGGATGTTTCTAGGATGATAGGATGAAGGAAGATGACAGATGAGGAGCAAATCTAGACAGCAGCCAGTCCATTTTAAAGTAAGTGAGAAGGCTTGGAGAAGGGCTTTAACAGAAACAGTGGTTCTGTGTGGAACTGAAGGGATCTGCGCTTGTAGCAGAATGGGGATTAGTTAAAGATAAGTGTGTAGAGCACTGAGCAAATGAAAAATGAAGATAGTTAACTCTGGGATAAAATAACTTGTGTAAGAATGGAAATTTAGTCATGGTATGCTACTTGGTTCAACATTTATATTAGTCATAATACACACAAAATAATATGACTGTCTTGGAAAGTTAGGAGGAGGGGGAATGGTTGTGTATAGGAGTATAGGGGTGGAGTTGGTAAACGAGAGTTGAGTCCCTGTCTTCCATTGTAAGACAGTAGACAATACCGAAAACTGAAAAATACGAAAGGAGCATGCTAGGTGTGATACTTAAGCATTCGGAGATAAATATCAGGGACAATTGTTTTTCACTAGCACCCTTGGAAAGCTATTTTATCTTATTAAAAAACATGTAATTTGATGAAAATTAATACATAGGAAAATTAAACAGTAAGGATTGACATGAGTTATTTGTTTTCTTTTTGTATTCTTACATTTCAAGTGTTCTGTTTTGATGGTTTATTCTTTCATAGCCTAGAAGCAATTTTTCATTTTTATTTCACTGTGAATCGTTACTCTTAAATATTTTCATTTGTTAGAAATTCATAATTTGTAGCATCTTGTTTAATGTTGCTTTTTGAGAAAGATGTGATATACCAGAAAACATCATAGTTGTGTATTGAGAATACAAAGACAAAGATTTCACATAAAGTTTATAGTCTAGGATAAGGGCAGAAACGTGTTAATAAATTATAGTACAGATTTACCTGTGACAGAACACACTCATGTCACTGGAAATAACAGCTCAAAGCAAAAGAGATGTCTATGAAGTAGAATTAATAATACTTCCCACCTGTCCGACGAGGAATATGAGTGAAAAGAACTTCACTGGTGGCGCTAGTGGTAAAGAATCCTCCTGCCAATACAGGAGATGCAGGTTCAATCCCTTGGTCAGAAAGATCCCCTGGAGAAGGGACTAGCAACCCACTCCAGTATTCTTGCCTGAATAATCCTATGGACAGAGGAACCTGGTGGGTTACAGTCTGTGGGATCACAAAAATGAAGGACACAAATTAGTGACTAAACAGCAACAATGAAACAAGAATAAGAAACAAGAATTGGTGATGACTCCCATCTTTCTGGCTTCAGTGACTGGGTATATTTTGGTGCTAGTCACTAAGAATAGAAAAGATAAAAGATAAGGGTGCAAGTTTAATGAACTCTGGGACCAATTGGTTTCAACATTTGTATTAAAATACAATATATTGACAGAACACTTGGCTATTTGGTTCTGAAGCTGAAGAAGAGGGCCAAGAAAGAATGAGCATGAGAATGAAAATGGATGGATGGATTGCATAATTGTCATCTCATTCAGAGTGGGTGGTGAGCGCTCCAGGGAGATGATGTAGAACAGAGCATCAATCAAGTGAATCAAGGACAGAGCCCTAGGGAAATCACCTGTGGCTTAGATATTCACAGATTTTAGAAGACTCATTTCACTGGACTGATGGCAACATAATTGTAGGTGGAAGGGTAAAGGGCCAGTAAGAAAGGAGTAGTCAAGGCTGCAAGGATAAACACTGTCCAGGAGCTTGACTGGCAAGGAAAGAAGAGAGGTTTAGGTGGAGGAGAAGAGTATAGGCTTAAAACAGTTTCTTTTTTTAAACGTCTGTTTCTTTATTCCCATTATTGTTTTAAGGCAAAAGAGAAATGAACTGGAAAGATAGGTTTCTAGAAAGGAGTCCATCAAGAAAGAGGTTTTAATATAGAAAAGAAGTGGAATAGGAAGAAAGAAAGAAACCAAAAAAAATGACTAACCAGGCACATTTTGGTTTGTGGAGCCCAGAGCTTATGTAATTTGTGGGGACAAGGTTCTTTAAGAAACAAAAGAAAAGTTAGATACAGGGCCATGTAAGGGGACTGTGAAAGTCAGAGGCCTTGCATTTTAAGCTTCATTAGTTTTAAGTAAACTCATATCAGTTAGTGATAGTTTACATCCCAGGGAGATGGAGAAAAGAAGATAATTAAAGAGCCTTGGTGTAGGGCTGGTTGCCTTAAACAGGGGAAATACTTCTTTTGAGAATTCCTGTAGCCTGTACACTGCAAGAGGCCAGGGAGCTTGTTACTCTTGTTCATTGATTTGTCTGCAGAACTTGATGCAGTCCTTGTTAATAGGTACTCAGTAAATATTTGTCAAATGTTTGATGAAACAAGAAGAAAAATCATGAGATTCAGTGCTAAGATAGCCCAACTTCAATTTTAAGGATAAAATGGAGAAAAAAAAAAAAAGGAGCAACTGTCTTTGTAGTAGATGTGATCCGAAGGGGTATGGCAGTGAAAATGGAACTTGAGAGTAATTATGATTTAGAATAGATACTGGGGAAGGAGGCAGAGTAGACGGAGCTGGAGGAGACTATGCGTGTAATCGGGAGAATGGTTGAGATAATGCAGTCTACGAAAGGACTGAGTCTTCCTACTGTTCAATGTTGCAGATTGTGAAACTGCTGCTTCGTCATGGTGGAAATCCTTTTCAAGCTAATAAACATGGGGAGCGTCCAGTGGATGTGGCAGAAACAGAGGAGCTGGAGTTGCTGCTGAAAAGAGAGGTGCCTTTGTCTGATGATGATGAGAGTTACACAGGTTTGTTCTACATGGTCTCTGTTCACTTGTTTACATGCTATTTTAGTAGAATGTCATACTTCTGCTTTGTAACAGAAAAAGCTGTTCAAAATGGTGAGTTCGGTAACCTCAGTCGAGGTCCTGTCTCCACGTCCTCCGTGTAAATGGAGTCCGGATGCTCTTGCCCTATTTCTGTGATTTCTTTTCCCCACAAATTGCTGATGTCAGATTCAAGCCTGTTGCAGCCTCTCTCCCCATTAATAGGTACCAGCACTGCTACACACTGCCACTGCTAGCTGTACCACGTCTGAATTCTTTAAATCCTTTTATCAATTTGAGCACTGCTCACCAGACCCTTCCTGGCATTGATGAGTACCTTTGCATTTTTATTTTTGTGTTTAGGTGGTTGAATTCTGGTCATTGTTGTAAAATTGGAGCACAATTTTACAATCAAAGTTTTAAAAAAGGGAAGATCTGAGAAGAGTATTTCAGAAAACTTTTGGCATACTCAGAGTTTTTTAAAAAACCGATAAGTAAAAAACATAACCTGCTCCAGGACTGGTTTCTGTCGTGGAAGGGGGAAGTAGTTATAAAAGATATTATTAGATCATTTAGCGAGGAATATGGACAGTAGATTAGTGTTGTTTCAGTGTAAATTCATGAAGTTGGCAACTGTGCTGTAACAAAATAATATCTTTATGTCTTGCAAAATACTCTCTGAAGTATATAGGGTAAAGAACCTATATTATATATATAATTAATATATAATATATATGTAAATTATATAATTTATATAAACTAAATTGTATATGTAATTTACCCTCATATAGTTATGGAAGAATATGTATTTATACACATATGTTATATATAGAGAGAAAGTATAATGCAAGAAGAGTAAAGCATTAACAATAGGAAAACCTAGGTAAAGGATTTATAATGTTTATTATTTTTTATTTTCTAACTTTTTGTGAGTTGAAATTATTTCCAAATTAAAACTAAAATATAAATTTAGATCTGTTGAAAAGATCTAAAGCTGACAAAGACCGTGGCAGTAGTCATTCCTGGTACCCATATTATAATTGGGAAATATTTTCTACTAAAAGAAAGCCAAACTTTCTTGGAAAACAATGGATGATGCTAAACTAAGTCTAGGGCAGGAAATATAGAACATCTCGTTATTTCAGATTTCAGATTTTGTCAGAAGGCCTTAGATGGCTTGGAACAGTTCCCCACTGGCCAAAAATGGGAAAGTTTGAGCTTCAATAAGTGTTAATTACAAAGATTTGAAACCCATTGAACATGTTTAAATTCATGAATCTCTCATGGTGAATTTTTAAATTAATTCATGGTCAGCAAAGAACCAGTTTGTTATCTTAAAAAATAGGCAGAAAAGGGGGAAAAGTCAATCATTTATTTTGCCTCCATATTCCTGGATGAACTCTATCACTGGGTATCCTCATTATGATGAGAAGAAATGTTTTCTTATAAGATTAATCCAGCTAAAAGAATGATAAGAGAGACTGACCACTTTGCAACCCCCTGTTGGTTGATGTCCAGGAGCATTGAGGATCAGTAGTTGCCAACATTAAATTAGAAAGAGAATGAAACCCTTGCCTGCCCTCCTACTAAAGGGACAGTCTACTCCCCTCCTCAGTCCTCCAGGTCGGATCCTGCTGCCATTGGCAGGAGGGGCCCAGACAGAGAAGTGTGCTGAGCTGCACCCAGCATCTTCTCCCAGCTGGATTGTACAAAAAGAGGGAGGACCTGTAGAAAAAAATAAAAATGACTTAAAACACCATATCAGACTTTAAAAAATGGACAAGACTAAAATTTTAAGTGTGTACTTAATAGGTACTTCTCCAGGAGAATTTTGTACAAAACTCAGTTAAGGTGAATAGCACATAGAAGGTTCAGGATATTGGGTTTTTTGAAATACTAAGAAATTCTCAAGATGATATGTTAGGGGAAACGTCTGGTATGTTTTCAATAGTTCTGAAAGGGGCCGGTGTAGTGATTGTTCCTATGTTCCATTTAGGAAAAGATAAAGGCTTCCACTTAACTATCACCCATCCAAAAGGGGGGCTGATTATAAGGAGAAGAGACATGGGGGAGGGAGGAATAGAGAGAGACAAACATGTTATTTAAAGGGTTGACAGCAGTGTTTAGTAATGGGAATCCTAGTGATGGGAACTGAAACTATAGGAGGAATTGTAAAGGTGGCAACATTCCTTTTTGTGTATATTTTCTCTCCTTCACCCTCCAATAAATTATGTAGACTGAAGTGTTTGGCACATAGACATTGCTTAACAAATATTTGTTTCATTGGAGGAAGGGGTAATTGGGCCTTAGGGATTATGCCAGAAGCTTTCATTACCCACAAATCTAGAGTCGCTGAACCTGTAGACTGAGTTTATCCATTAAGGAGACTGAGTGAGTCTGGAAACACCTGGTCCGGCAACAGCAAGGTCTCCTCTGGTGCTTTAGCACAGAGGGGCCATCCGTGAGCTCAGAGGACATAGCTGGTGAAGGAAATGGAGATACTAACATGATTATCCCCTAACCCCTGTCACTTCTTTAATTTCAAAGTATTTGTGAATCTATCTGCCAGGTGCAAACTGAAAGTCAATTGAACATCTTTGTGCTGTGTGAAATAAGGATTATAATAACTGAATTACATAGCTTCCATAGAAAAGTAAGAGAATAAGATTTGAAGAAGAGAAACATTTTATATGTTAATTCTCCCATTTATTATGCCTATGGACTTTGTAATCCTGGTCTCTTCAGAAAACAATAGCAGTGAAAAGCAGCTTTGGTTAAAAATCTTTCTGTGAGAAAAAAGTGCTGCAATAAATTTTTCCATGGAAGAAGTTAAGTATTTTATTTGAACTTACATGTTTCATTAGAGTAAAGCACGTCTTTTAGAACCGTTTTTTATTTTTACTGATACTGTTTCATGTGTTCATCAGCTATGTATTGATTTTTCAGCATACTTATTTTCCACATGGTGAATGTGCCTGAATTATTGCTTGATCAAAATCCCTCAAGGAATGATTTAAAAATCATCAGTAAAAATCATCCGTAAGTATCATACAAAGATTTTGAAGTTGCTGAAAAAGACTGATGAAAATACCCAAATTTATTGTTTCATTTACATGAGGTCCTTGTCAGACTAAACATCATCTAATCTAAATTCAGAATGTATTAATATTTAATCGAGTATTAATCTGACTGCCCATAGACATTTGTACATGTAAAGCCTGACAGCATTGTTACTCATATTGTATGTTATGTCATCCATGTGACAGATACACTTTAAGTGCTGCAAAGTTAGATAGTATAACTGGCTGTGGATTTCAGAACTTAAATTTGGAGTAGATAAAAAGGCATTCTGTAGGAAACATTTTAGAGTTTGGCTTATCCCATTAGATGTTGTGCTTTGTGACAGTGCTGCTCAAAGGCACTGTTCTACAGAGTGTCAGGTCCTCAGGGCACAGAGCTTGTGCCAGAATATACGCCATTGCACGGCTTCTTTCATCAGAGAGGAGAATGCTCTGACAAGAGGTGTCTGTCCTATGAGCTCAGAGTGTACTTGTGATGTCACTGATTTCCTCTGATAGAAGCCTGTTTCTTCATCATTTCATCACACATTAGTAATAAACAATGTGCAGGATGGCCCAAGTTCATGAACCTCCCTGAGTAGTCATTTTATGTCATGCACATCAGATATTCATGATATTGTTGGAGGAATTCATGTCCTGGTCAGTACAACTGATTTGCATACAAGTGTATGACACTTAAATCTGCATAATTCTGTGGTTTTTTTCCCCTAACCTCTGCCCTTTTTCCACAGTCTTATTCCATATTACCTTCCTGACAGAAATTCTATCTGATAATAGGATTTGCTACAGATATTTGCTTCTTGCTAACCTGCTGAAAGCTGAGTCATATTCAGAGAACCAGACCACGCTCCTGAACCAGAATTACGGTAACGGAGAAGTGGGTGACTCTGTGTCGCACTGCGCCCCTCCCCATGCTTTCTGACTCTCATTAATTGCCAAAGTAGAGATTCTGCTGCAGGTTTGCAGACCCTGTTTTATTGCGTAAACAAAGTGCCCAGTGGGTAAAGTTGAAAATGCTAGGCATTGTTAAAAATAATTGTTCACCCTTTCCTTACATTGCTTTGACTGCCAGTAATTTGGCCATGTTTATTAAGCCACTGCTATAAGCTTTGCTCACTTGCGTGCTTCAAATTAAGCAAGGAAATACTCCATCATAAGTAGGCAGTCTGTGTTTAGAGTCTACCGTGAGATAGATTAAGAAACTTCCAAAAAGACAGTGATATGTTGTTTCCCTCTGGTGTTCACTGAGTGCATTTCTGTGTCATAAAATACACAAAATGACCAGTAATTTGAAGCCTTATTTTCTTAATGTTAAAAGATTGTAACTATTCTAAATATATTGTCATATTTGTTAAACTCATATCCTCAGTTTTATATTTCAGGAACTATGAAAATATGACTATTGATTCATGCAGATATGGAATTATAACAGTTAATAAATCAAGAGATACAAAAAACAATTACTTAAGTCAAAATAGACCAGAAATTTTTATTAAATGGATTATGTGATATTAACAATTTAACTGTAAGTAGGAAGAAGACTCACCTGAGGAAGTTTTAAAACAAGCTTCTTTTAACCTTGGAAGCATAAAGACTACAGGTAGAGGTCACATAGAGTAAGCACCGTACTTGGTGTTCAACGACTTTAATTCTTCACCCATCACTGTGGTATAGGTGCTTACAAGAAATGGAAAGGCATGTGATGTGCAGAGGGCTGAGCATACAGCATAATAGGCAATAAGATATTCTTTAGTGATCAATTAAAAGAAATTCCGTCACCATGTTTTGCATACTCTGCTTTTTCTCCTCTGTTTTGTGATGTATATGGTACACTTTATACACAGAGTTCTGATTTTAATTCTTCACACGTTTCTCTAAATATCACCAACTACTTCTACCTGA